GTATTATTGAGGATAATGTAACAGGTAGCTCTTACCATCCTTATCCGTCTTTCTTGGCAGTTCTGATACCCGGTTTGCAATTACATTGAACAACAAGGATGCCCTCACTGGAGATGAAGAGACCTTGGCTTCATATGGGATTGTTTCTGGGGACTTGATATGTTTGATTCTTGAAGATGCCATTCCAGCACCTAACTTACCTTCATCCACAGATTCAGAGCATTCCTCACTCCAGAATAATGACCAACCCTCTTTGGCCGCCAGCTCCAGTCAGTCCAGCACACAGGCTGAACAGCGGAGTGGTTCATTCCAAGGAGAGGCAGCACAAGCTGATGTCTGGAATGATGACAGTATGGTGGGTATTCATATCAAGACAAGATATGGGCAGTTAATAAATCATATGAACACCTCAATTGAATTTTATACCAGTCAGGATAATTGTCATCAGTAGATTGCAGATTATAATCTCATAGAAAAACATTTTTTTAAATTGCGAAATGCCTGGATCAATATTGTGCTGGCACTGTGAATAACCCAGTTTTTACCTATTTATTTTGTTCAGACACTTACTGCTTCAGATAAGTTATCTCTTGGCTTCTATTGTTGCCTTTAAACTTATGTTCCCAGCCTTACTTCTGTGGTCCACTCCACTCATTGGGGCTGTATATAAGTCCAAATTATTTCCAAATGATTTGCAGGACATTTATACCTGGATTTTAAAAATTGTTACCTCGGATTCTGTATGCCAGCATAAATTTGAAAATACGTGCAATGATGTTCTCTTATTCCCAAATCAGCCACGGTCTTTGTCAGTGGTACTATTGTTTTCCTGAGCTTAAAACCTTGGAGTAGAGGCGGCCTGTGAGCTCAGGTGGTTAGAGCGCAGGCTTATAACACCAAGGTTGCCGGTTCGATTCCCACATGGGCCATGGAGCCGCGCCCTCCACGACTAGATTGAAACAACTACTTGACTTAGAGCTGATGGGTCCTGGAAAAACACACTGTTCCCCAATTAAAAAACAAGACAAACAAACAAAAACCTTGGAGTGATTTCTGATTCCTTACACCCAGCCCTTCACGAGCCCTGCCAGTGTTTCCTTCCAAGCTTTCAGTGTCTGTTCTTTGGTGTACTTTCTAGGTTCATCTTCTTCCTACATATTTTTGATTATGTTGTTCCTTTGCTCTTTAGTTACTCTCTGTCATATTTTTTAATTGAAAAAGATGGAATATCTCTAGTTCAACCCTGTCGTGCTACAGAGGAGGAAAAT